GGAGCAGCCTGATTTGCCTCCCTGTACAAGTGTAAGAGTCCTGCTGCTACAGTGGTTAAAGCGCTTTGGTCAGGGGTTCAAACCCACCAGCGGCTCCAGGACAGAATGCTGTGGCCATCTGCTTGTCTGCTTCCATAACGGCGTACAGCCTTGAAAGACCCGTGGGACAGTTCCACTCTGTCCTGCAGGGTGCCTATGAGTCGGAATCAGTGCAACGGAAATGGTTATATATATGTATATATACATACGTGTGTGTATATAGACATCTGTGCATATATGTATATAAGAAACTGAGGTTGGATAGCCATCATGTATAACCACCATAGCTCCCTCCTCCACTCTTCTCCTGATGCACTTTGGGGCCTGCTTCCGACTTTTTGCTGGGTGTGCACAGTGGTGTGCACCTCTGTCAGCTCATGTTCTCTCTCACGTCTTTAGGGAAAATACCCAGCAGAGGTATTGCTGGATCGCATGGGGTCTCGATTCCCAAGTGTTTGAGGCCTCGCCATAGCACTTTCCACAAGGGTTGGGTGAGAAGCTCTATTCCTACCCATGAGCCCATTCTCTCCTTAGTTTGAACTCCCATAGCCCCACCCAGGCCTTCAACATAAAGGGGTAGGGACTTTTCATCCAGACCTGGTCTCAACATCCAGTCTACTTGTGCCTCCCCTTCATTCAGTCACAGATCCGGGACAGATGTTCATGAGCACACCAGGCCCACCCAGTGGGCTGTGCACACATCAGGGCCAGAGGTGCCCCTGTGCTCAAGTTCCTCCCGGGAAGGCGAGCAGAATGGGCAGCTGCGGATGGGTTTGCCTGGTCATCCGTACACTATCAGGACCCCTTTCAAGTGTTGAAAAGCAAGGATGTCCCTGAGGATTCAGGGGTGCCTGACCCACGCCATGGTATTTCCCATCGCCGTATGCAGGTGAAAGTTGGACATTGCGTAAGGAAGACCGAAGAAGAATGATGCATTGGGAGGACGGCTGGAGAAGAGTGCTGGACGTGCCACGGACTGACGAAGACCAAACGCCTGTCTCAGAAGTACAGTCGGAATGCTCCTTCGATGCAAGAGTGGTGAGTACGTACGTTGGACCTCTTACCAGGAGAGACCAGTCCCTGGAGAAGGACATCATGCTTGGGAAAATGGAAGGGCAGCGAAAAAGAGGGAGCCCCTCAATGAGATGGGTTGACACGGTGGCTACCAGAATGGGCTGAGACATGACAGCTGTGGAGATGGCAAAGGTAGTGTTCTGTTCTGCTGTCCACGGGGCTGCTGTGAGCCAGAGCTGACTCGAGAGCCCCTCACAGCACACAGAAGTAGCCTGGCAGTGTAGGAGGTTATGTGTTAGGCTGCTAATTGGTTGTTCAAACCCCTCAGCCACTCTGAGGGACAAGGACGAGGCTGTCTGCTTCCATAAACATTTAGTCTCAGGAACCCAAAGGCGCTGTTCTACTCTGCCCTTTGGGTCGTATGAATCGGAATCGACTTGAGGGTGGTAGGTTTGGAGGAAAGTGCAGAGAAAATCTATTTTCCATTCAACAACCATACACGTTTTGTTTCCTGATAGGAGTTCCCACTTCCTCCCGGAGTTCCCCACTCCACCGCCAATCTTTCCTGCCTTCCGAGCTCTGAGCTTCGTTCTTGAGTTCGGTGGATTGTTCTCAGGAGAACCTCCAGGGGCGTACAGGGAGCTTCCTAGGCAAGTCTATTGATTGTCTGAAACTCCATCTCCGGGGATGCCTTCAGTCCCAGTTCAATCATGTCTTATTCTCCAGCTATGACACAACAGCCTTGCAGGGTAAGGCCCTGGCTCTAGACCAGTGGTTCTCAACCTTCCTCATGCCGCGACCCTTTCATACAGTTCCTCACGTGGTGGTGACTCCCAACCATAAAATGATTTTCGTTGCTACTTCACAACTGTCATTTTGCTACTGTGATGAATCATCATGTAAATACCTGATATGCAGGATGTATTTTCGTTGTTACAAATAGAACATCATTAAAGCATCGTGATGAATCACAAACCAATATGTAATTATATATTGTGAAATAGTTATTTCTAATGACACAGCAATGAAATGTTGTCTTGAAGCATGGTGTAGCATGGGTCACAGTCTTCATGCCGGGGACTCGTAGGTGGGCATCTCTGCATGTGGGCGGACCGCCCGGAGACAGATACAGGAGCAGACACCACAGCTCCCTCCTGCTTGGATTGGTTCCTAAGACCGTTGGAAATCTGTGTTTTCTGGTGGTCTTAGGCGACTCCTGTGAAAAGGTCATTCAACCCCTGAAGGGGTCTGGACCCACAGGTTGAGAACTGCTGCTCTAGACCCCAAATGCCTGAGTTAAACCTAAGCCCTTCTACTCACTTATTGTGTGACCTTGGGCGGGCCACTTAAGCCCTGTGCTTCAGTGTCCTCATTGTTAAACCTGGAACCATGACCATGTGACATTAGACACAGCAGATGCCCCAAACCAAACTCATTGCCAACGAGTCTATGCTGACTCACAGGGACCCTATAGAAGAGAGTAGAAAGTTCCCTTGGGTTTCTGAGACTTTAAATCTCTTACTCTCTCTTTTTTTCTGAGATTTTAAATCTTGATGGGGGTAGACAGCCTCATTTTTCTCCTGAGGAGTGGCCGGTGGGTTCTAACCGCTGACCTTGTGGTTGGCAGCTCAGGGTATAGCCCACCATACCACATACTCTCAAACTCACTGCCATGGAGTCAATTCCAACTCATAGCAGCCCTTTCCGATGGGGGAGACCTATTCCAGTGGCTTTCCGAGACTGTAACTCTTGGTGGGAGTAGAAAGCCCCATCTTTCTCCTGAAGAATGGCTGGCAGTTTCAAACTGCTGGCCTTGTAGTGATCAGCCCAACGCCGTGCCAATAAACCACTTAGCACAATGCCTGGTTCAGAATTAAGTGCTCAATTGAAGTGCTCAAATACCTCTAGACCAGTAAGTCTCAAAGCATGAACCCAGGATCCCCAGGGGGAAGCCAGGAGGTCAAAATGATTTCCATCATCACACTTTCCGAGGCTGCCTGAGCGACAGTGACCCTCCAGCGGATTG